TTTGTCGATTCCTTTCACAGTGAGAGTTTTGGTTCTATCAGAGGAGCAGTTTGTGGTCGTGTGGGAATGAATGTAAATGGCCCCACAGCCGCTGGGGGTTGGGCCGAGGGGGGGCGGAGGGAGCAGATTATTTTGCTTTTTTTAAAAAACAGAAATGTCTTATACAATTAGATATAAATGATACATATCGTCGGTAATATTTGTTTGGGAGCTGTGGGGGAGGTCTCTGCCCTGAGACGGGATGGTTCTGTCTGTCTGTCTGAGCTGAGCTGTGCCACGTGCTGAGCATCAGCAGTTTCACTTTTTTCCCCTTTTTTTATATCAATAAAAGCTGTTTTCCGGTCCCGTTGTTTCTGGAGCCATAAAAGAAGGAGTTCGAGGTCCCCACTCAGCTGTCGGCTGACGTGGACTTTGCTGACAAACCCGAAGACCCTTTTGGTTGATTGTAACAAAATGTTAACCCTTTAGAGTTTGTGTATCATTTGTGGGGAACTGCGATCGCATTGCGATACGGTTCTGTAACCACCGAAATTAGAAATGAACCCCCAAATAAAATGTCCGGTGGCGGAGAGGCTGTTGGACAGTGTGATGTCGGTGTTGCTGTTTAAGATGGCAGCACTGCCCACACTCCGCCACTGCGGTAACTTCAAAGGGAACTTTCCCCTTTGAAAGTTGCGGTTCGTACTCTCATGAGGAGCCGCAGAGGGTCAGAGATCGCGGCGATCCGTAACGTGTTTGCGATCGGGGAGTGACTGCCTGAACCGTAAAGGGCATTCAGGTGCCCCCGAATACTGTGGTCTATTACACTCCCATTTACTAAACAAAACAAATTCCTTTTGCTTTCCCTCCACTTTCCTGAATGTGCCATGTGCCCCCCCTCCCCCCACCCCCCCGCCCCCACCCTCCCCCCACCCTCCCCCGCCCCCACCCCTCCCCCCTCCCCCCACCCCCCCGCCCCACCCTCCAGCGCAGTGGCCGCCCCGACCCCAGGGGGACACTCAAGGCCCTCCCTTCCCACCCCCTCTGCCCTCACTCACCCCAACCCCACCCGCCCCCACACTCGGGTCCCGATCCCAAACTGTTCGGCGCCTTCGGACATCCTCCCAATGTGAAAGGCGCTTTACACATGTAATTTTGTTGTTGCAGACGGTGAGTGACAGCTATTTGTCTGAGAGATTGTCACTGCAAAACCTAATCTTATGGCCTCACTCACTAGTTTACAGCTGGGTGTTGGCCGGTGTTCCCTGGTGTTGGCCGGTGTTCCCTGGTGTTGGCCGGTGTTCCCTGGTGTTGGCCGGTGTTCCCTGGTGTTGGCCGGTGTTCCTGGTGTTGGCCGGTGTTCCCTGGTCTGGTGTTGGCCGGTGTCCCTGGTGTTGGCCGGTGTTCCCTGGTGTTGGCCGGTGTTCCCTGGTGTTGGCCGGTGTTCCCTGGTGTTGGCCGGTGTTCCCTGGTGTTGGCCGGTGTTCCCTGGTGTTGGCCGGTGTTCCCTGGTGTTGGCCGGTGTTCCCTGGTGTTGGCCGGTGTTCCCTGGTGTTGGCCGGTGTTCCCTGGTGTTGGCCGGTGTTCCCTGGTGTTGGCCGGTGTTCCCTGGTGTTGGCCGGTGTTCCCTGGTGTTGGCCGGTGTTCCCTGGTGTTGGCCGGTGTTCCCTGGTGTTGGCCGGTGTTCCCTGGTGTTGGCCGGTGTTCCCTGGTGTCGTTTCCCTGGTGTTGGCCGGTGTTCCCTGGTGTTGGCCGGTGTTCCCTGGTTGGCCGGTGTTCCCTGGTGTTGGCCGGTGTTCCCTGGTGTTGGCCGGTGTTCCCTGGTGTTGGCCGGTGTTCCCTGGTGTTGGCCGGTGTTCCCTGGTGTTGGCCGGTGTGTAGAGTTGTGTTAGTTGATCTAGCAACGGTTTTCATTATCCTGTTACCGATATTCCCCTGAAACACTGAGCTCCACTTTCTGACCGGCTTCAAAACGGATATGTCCCCAATATCTCACCATCTAAACACAGCCGTCTGCAGTTTATAATCCAAACACCCATTACCTAATATTACTGTAGTGGGAGGCATTGCAATGTCATTAAATAACCCACTTCTCATCCTTGTATTCCCTACAGTGTAGTTTGTTCAAAACAGAAAAGAGGAAATGGCAGGAATCTGAAATCTTATTTGATTAGCGCTACAAATCATCAGGTTTCCTATTTTAAACTGAGGAGCAGTAGCTGAGAATGTGAGCTCCTATATTTAATTACCAGTGGGTTCAGAAGTTTGATGTAAATGGTGCTTTATAGTGTAACAGAAGTTGATCCAGTTCAGTGTTAATGTAAATATCACTTCAATACTCATAAAATGGTAACTTTGGGCCCCAAGTGTTATGTAAAATTGAAACAGAAGTTGCTGAGAACACTCCATGTGAATTAACATTTCAGGTGAATGATCTGAAACATTAACTCACTTTCCTCTCCATAGATGCTGCCTTATTTGCTGAGTGTTCCCAGCAACTTCTGTCTTTATTTCAGATTCCTAGCATCTGCGGTATTTTGCCTTGTGTTTAAAGGGCTTCCACCCGAATTCTGTAGTGTTGGCTGAACTTAACCGGTTACCTGTTGCCAACACAATAACCAGTGTAGAATTACTAATAAAAACCTTGATCACATCTTACCTCTTTGATCATGCTTTTGGTTCTCCCCTCCCACACCCCCAGCTCCGGCTCCCAGCCAGTACAGTTAAGTGTTTGGGATGTCTTCCTGACACTAAAGGCACTATATAAGTGCAAATTTATATGGAATCACGCTTTATGGTGGGATCGTTTTCTCCTGTGACTTCTTCCTCCCACAAAACTTAAAATTCTGTAACTTTTCAAACAGGAAAGTGTTCGGCGGCAGTTGGGTTCTCTGTTAGAGGATGGTCCCAGGGAATGCTCAGTCATCTCTCTCCAGATCCCGCACCATGCTGGGTCCCTCCCAGCAATGGCCTGCAGACAATTACCCTAATCTTCAATGACAGAGGTTGTATCTGCCACAACATGTTGGCTGTGTTAATTGTGCAAATCTCGCTGGGATGGAGTGGAACGCAGAACCAGTATGTGCAATACTCTGTGTTCTCTTATGTCTCCAACAGATTCTGTGGATAATATGTTTATTCTCTTCCCCTATTATTATACAGCTGAATAATAGGAAGACTAGGTGAGGGAGAGATTTTTTAAAAAAAGCAAGAAAACTTTTGAGAGAAGCTTAATGGGAAATGTACATCAGGATAAAGGGTTACTCACAGATTGCTCCATAGATTAACATTGCTGTTATCTGCATGAAAAATATTTCAATATTTTGGTCTATAGGGAGATGATAGGGAAAGGCTTGAGGTCTGGCACAGGTCATATCTGATCACATCGTCTTACGCTGTTCATGAATATTGGTCAGAATTTTGTTTGAGTCTTGTACATAGAAAGAGGAGTTGGCCATTCAGCCCCTCAAGTTTGGCCAGGGCAAAACATTGGGCAAGTTTCCTTACTCCACATGCCTCTGTTTACCAGCAGTAAGTAGGAACTCGATTGTTAGTCGATGGGCGAATCGCTTTTCCGCGGGTAATAATCCTTAACATTCAGCCACCCTGCCCCCAATCTTTGGAAATCCATCCCACAGTCCCTTCGTCGTGCTCCCTCCCTTGTCTTCTTCAAAGCCCGTCTCAAGACCCTCCTCTTCAACTGCGCATTCGGTCACCCTCCTACCCCCACTCTCCCAGTACTCCATCCCCCTGATCCCAGCCCCCTGCTCGGGTCCAAATCCCTGACTGTCCAGCACCTTGTGACGTCCTCTCGACATGAAAGGTGCTTTACAAATATAATTTGTTGTTGTTGTTCCACTATTTTACTAGATCAAGGCTGTTCTGTACCTCAACTCTGTTTGCCCAAACCTTTTCTCCATATCCCTTACGTAGGCAGATACACAGGAAGGCAGGGCTGTTTGAATTGTGTGACTTGTGTGAGTTCTCCCCTTCCCTTCATTCCTGAAGTTGTTTGACTTTTTTTGTTGACATGAGACATGGCTTCACTGGTGCCCTCCAGCAACGCATCCAAGTGATGTTTTCTATGTGTATAGCCATGGGGGAAGTGGAGACCGGTCAGTTGATTGGGATCAGGAGTTTGATGACACACACACCTCTGTTTACCCCGCAGTAAGTAGGAATCCACTTGTTAGTTGGTTGGTGGATTGCTTTTCCGGGGGTAATAATTCCTTCAAAGCAAATAATAATAATAATCCTTGCATTTGATATAGCGCTTTTCACGTCGGGAGGACGTCCCAAAGCGCTTCACAGAACACACTGTAAAGTGAATTGACTGTATATTTGGGGCGAACGCGGCAGCCAATTGCGCACAGCAATGTCCCACAAACAGTCGTAGATTGAAAATGACCAATTTATTATTGTTTTGGTTTTGGAGGATTATTATTAGGCTCTGTGTGGAGTAAGGAAACTTGCCCAAGGTTTCGCCCTCTGCCTGGAATTGAACCCAGGTCATAAATCATAAATCATAAATTGGTCATTCAATCCACGACTGTTTGTGGAACATTGCTGTGCGCAATTGGCTGCCGCGTTTGCCCACAAATATACAGTCAATTCACTTTACAGTGTGTTCTGTGAAGCGCTTTGGGACGTCCTCCCGACGTGAAAAGCGCTATATCAAATGCAAGGATTATTATTATTATTATTATTCTGTGAAGCGCTTTGAGACGTCTAGTAGATGTGATAAGGTGTTATATCAAATGCAAGGATTATTATGTCTGTAATGCTCTTTATAATTCCTGCACTCAAGCATCATTCTGGATTGGCAGCTCAGCTCAGGAAATGTAAGGATTATTATTACTGAATTCTATTTGTAGAATTTTGTGCTCAAATTGGCTGTTGCATTTGTCTACATATACAGTCACTACTTTTGACAGCAATTATCTGTGAAGTATTTTGATGTTATAGCGCTGTAACAAATGCAAGGATTATTATTTACCTTGGCTTTTTACCTTTCCTCTCAGGCAGCAGTGAGGAGGTGGGCCGAGCGGTTTGCGTCGTGGGACAATGGAGCAGAACTCTGTAACTCAGTATGAGCCTGTGGCCGAGATCGGTGGTGGAGCATATGGGACAGTTTACAAGGCACGGGACTCGAGGAGTGGAAAATTTGTGGCTCTCAAAATCGTGCGGGTGCAGATGGGGGAGGATGGTTTACCCGCGACAACTGTGAGGGAGGTGGCCCTACTGAAACGCCTGGAGCACTTTGACCATCCCAACATTGTGAGGTGAAGAGAGTTGGGGTGAAGGGTTCACACTGCCCTCATAGCCTCATAACTAATTATTATCAACCTGTCCGCTCCCTCTGCACAGCAGGCTCTGGCCTGCTCCACGTTCCCTCGCCTGCCCCCCTCCTCTTCGATCGAGCCTTTGGCTACTCTCCCTGCCCTCCCCAACCCCGACCCCCAGCTCAGGTCCAAAGCCCTGACTGTCCAGCGCTTTGGGATGTCCTCCCTACATGAAAGGCGCTGTGTAACTGTAATTTGTATTATATTACAAAGGATTGGCCCCAGTGTGAGAATTTTTGAATTCGCTACACTGCCATGATATTGTCCAACTGCAAGAGAATTATGACGTAGGGTCGTGGACCCGAAACGTTGACTCGCTTTCCTTTCTCCATAGATGCTGCCTGACCTGCTGAGTTTTCCCAACTCTCTCTGTTTTTGTTTCAGATTTCCAGGATCTGCAGTATTTTGTGTTTTTTTTGCAAGAGAATTATGATTGGATCTGCCTCCCTTTACTCAGTGCTGTAGCATTTATCTGTGTGTATCTGTGGCTCTCTGTGTGGAGGAGCTCACCTATTCTGTTTGTGGGCTCTGGCCTGCTTCACGTTCCCCACCTCGCCCGCCCCACCATTGGTGGGCGGGCCTTCAGCCACTCTGCCCCCACCCTCTGGCACTCCATCTCGCAGTCCCTCCACCGCGCCCCCTCCCTTTCCTCCTTCAAGACCCGTCTCAAGACCCTCTTTGACCGCGCCTTCGGTTACCCTTCTTGCCCCCCTGCCCTCCACCCTCCCCGATCCCAACCCCCAGCTCAGGTCCAGCACCTTGGGACGTCCTCCAGACGTGAAAAGCTCTATACACATGGAATTTTGTTCTTGTTGTTGCTGCCTAATGCACAGCCAGGCCTGGGGTTGGTGAACATGAGCCTAAACCCTCATACTCTGCTGCACATTCAGAGATAATCATCACAAATGTATGTCATTCAGCCCATCTGGTCACTATGACAACATAGTGAGATCCAGGCATTACAAGACAGGCATTGCTGCTCCTACAGTGGATCCTTTGCTAACCAACAACAACAACAAGATTCCATTTATAGAGCGCCTTTCACGTCGGGAGGACGTCCCAAGGCGCTGTACAGTTCGATCAGGACCCGAGGAGGGGGGAAATGGTCAGGGTGAGGGGAGGGAAGGGAGGGAGCAAGGAAGGGGTAGAGAGTCGAGAGCGGAGCTGAAGGCACGGTTGAAGAGAAAGGTCTTGAGACCGGCCTTGAAGGAGGAAAGGGAGGAAGCGGTGAAGGCCCTGTGGGATGGAGTTCCAGAGCCTCGGGGCTGAGAGGCTGAAGGCCCGGCCACCGATGGTAGGGCGGTTGGGGCGGGGGATGTGGAGCAGACCGGAGCCAGAGGAATGGAGGGTACGGGCAGGTAAGTAGGGGGATAGTAGGTCGGAGAGGTAGGAGGGAGCGAGGCCGTGATGACCAAAACTAAAGGCTCACCCTTTGGGCAGCACTGAAGGGTGGCCACAGAGCTGTCCACCAGCAGATGTCAAACACCTTCATGAGGAGAGAGAAAACTGGTAGAGCAAAGAAATACTATGTTTCTCTAATACACGGGAGGAAAAGAGGTTCTGGGTGCTCGTCGGCCCAGTGCGCATCAGTAAAACATTGCCGGTCACGCCAGGGTTTTGTGTTTGTGCTCAGCCTGGGTACTGACCCGTCTGTGTGACTGTGTCTCTTGTTGCAGGCTGTTTGACGTGTGCACTGCAATGAGGACGGACAAAGAAACCAAGGTCACTCTGGTGTTTGAGCACATCGATCAGGACCTGAAAACATACCTAGAGAAAGCGCCTTCACCTGGGCTACCAGCAGAGACTGTGAAGGTAAACTTGGGCCCCTCCCCCTCAGCCATACTGTATTCTCCACAAGTCCTCACTGCACCAAATCAATAAGAGTCCAATGTAGAGGTGAGATCGAGAGGGATGATCTCATGGTACCACTGGCTACAGCACTGGGGTTGCATGTTTGTTCCTGGGTCTGTGCAACAACTGGAACTATAATTGGTTTCAGTGTTGTCTGGGTTAGGGAGAGGCAAATCAGCCAAGATTTCTACTGCTGTTCTCTATCAGTGATTTATTCTGGGAATATAAATATGTGGTATTTGTAAATGTTTTATGTGTGTGTGTGTGTGACCCATCTCAAGATCCTCTTCAATCGTGCCTTTGGTCACCCTGCTACCCCTACTGTTCCCAAACACCAGCTCGGGGGTAGATCCCTGACTGTCCAGCACCTTGGCACGTCCTCCTGACGTCCCAAAGTCATTTGTTGTTGTTGCGTGTGTACTTTGTCTCTCTCAGTGTGTAGAGTGAGCCTTGCTGTGCTCTTGTCCACACAGGCTCTGATGAAGCAGTTACTCAGCGGCCTGGAATTCCTGCATTTACACAGTGTGGTGCACCGCGACCTGAAGCCTGAGAATATCCTGGTGACCAGCCGTGGGCAGGTCAAGCTGGCAGATTTTGGCCTGGCTCGTATCTACAGCTGTCGAATGGCCCTGACACCTGTGGTAAGGATCAAACTGCCCTAAGTCCTGGCTTAATCAGAATGTGTCTCCCTCATTGGGTTAGCTGGTAAGGTCAATAAACAGTGCAACACTGAGCCACATAAACTGGAAGGTTGAAGGTTTGTATTCAGTGCTGTTACTGATTTTGAGCCGCCAACAGTCAGGACTACATTTGGTGTCAGAGAGTAGAGAGTCAGCATTTGTGTCCAATTGAGTGAGGATAGTTTGGCTACTCAGCTTCATCAACTCTCACGTCTGGAGCATGAAGACTAGACAATTGTGTGAGGTACCTCAGGCAGTGAGAATGTGTCTGAAAAGTGAGGTGCGTTGGCTTTGTTGAGTGGGAACTGAAAGGCTGGGAAGTTTGCTGGTGAGAGAAAGTAAGTTGGAATGTACAGGAAGACATTTTACACAATACAGCACAGTAATGAAGCTGAGGTTGCCAGGCAAGGCTGAGGCTTGTATTGTACATGAGAGAGAATGGATTCCTGCTCTCTGTTCAGATATCCAGCTTCCACAATAAGGTTCCCAGTCTCAGCCTTTTCACAAATCTCTAACATTGATTCAAGTGCAGAGATTTCAAACTGAACCATCGCTTTGTGTAAGAGGAGGTTGGGTAAATGAGTGAGATCCAGGAGACAAACTCCTGTTTTTCTTTTGTAAACATGAAGCGCTCGAGCTGTGATTCGCTCTGCTCTTCGTGCTAACCTCGGCCTGGTTGATGCTGGTTTATCTCACTGGCCAGGAACCAGCCTCCAATTGATTAGCAAAGTCACCACTCATTTTGTAATTACTGTTAAAAACCTTTGAAATGTTTCTGCCTTCAGCTGCCTTAGTGCCTGCAGTTTATGGCAACGTTCAGACCGGTGTTACAGAGCCTGCTCAGGCCCAGGGACAGCCTCGTGTTTACTTGTGCATTCCAGAGGCTTAACCATTCGTAACCTAGAAGACCATTTTGTCTTAAAGTTTCAGCTTCCCACTTGGAAAGTTCTATCTCATCCATGAAGTGCTTTGTGTTTCCTTTTCTGGCATCGTATATGTAGTACTTTGTATTTATCTGTATTAAACGGTATTTGCCAGTTACCAGCCCATGTCCACACTCTTATCAGGCTGTCATCAGGAAAGAGGATTGGAGAATTGGGTGGGGGTGGGCACGACCAAAGGGAAGGATGCAGTCGGAGGGAAGAAGGAGAATGTTTAACTGAATGATTACAAAGCTCTCTATTGTTCCTTTGCTTTATGGCTTAATTACAATATGACGTGTGCCCGACTAGGTGGTGACCTTGTGGTACCGAGCCCCAGAGGTGCTCCTGCAATCTACCTATGCCACTCCTGTTGACCTGTGGAGCACTGGCTGTATATTTGCTGAGATGTTTCAGAGGAGGTGAGTACCGAGTGTGGTTTCACCATTTTATACTGTGCTTTAAAAATCCAGCTGTGGTTACGATGCCCTACGCCAAATGCAGTCTCCAAATTGATCTGATATTTGCACCCAAGTAATGCAGTGAAAGCCATCCCCTGCCCTTTGAACAGTGTGGACATCGCTTTGCAGGTTCACTCTAGTTTTGAAGACTGTATAACTAGCATCCTATTGCACCCACTGAGATTTTATATTCCATGAATCAGGTTGTTAACAAGCCAATATAATTTCTACCCCAGTGTCACTGCCTTTTGTTGTCTCACAGGCCTCTGTTTCGTGGTAACTCAGAGTTTGACCAGCTGGCGAAGATTATCGAGTGAGTGGTTTTATTTATAATTATTTTTCCATCTGCATTGCTGCTATTAGCGACACTCCTGGTGGGGGTAATTGAGATGGAAACTTGTTTGGATTTCAGAAAAACTGGGCTCCCACTGGAGGATGACTGGCCAAAGGATGTGACGATACAAAGAAGCTCATTCGCCCAACAATCTGCTCAGTTGGTCAAGACGTATGTTCCTGAAATTGATGACCTGGGAGCAAGCTTGCTGTTGGTGAGATGTGGGATTTGCTGCTAATTCCTAGTTGTAATGACTTTTTGACCAGAGAATTATTTCCTTAATGTCCATGTAAGATTGCTCAGAATCAGCCCAAATTGATCCCATTTCCCAGGGAATTCCCAGCATTGCTTAGCAGCTCTGCTGCTATTTCTCTACACATCTCCTCAAGGACACAGGCTCGTCCTGGTATCCAGCACTCAGTCTGTGTGGCCTAATCAGTGCCTTGAACAGATTCAGCTCACCCCCTCACTAACATTTCCATTCCATGTACTTCTAATAAACGTCAGCAGCAAATTCTTAGACAATGAAAACCCACCCCTCGGGTAAGAGATTCTGTAGGAGACGATATTTTCGCCAAAGTCATTTCTGGTTTAAGCAATTTCACTTCCTGGATCTGCAAGGTCCTATAAACTGAAGTGCTGGCTCGAGTGATGGAAGATGAAACAACACAGAAGTGGACTCCTATAGCTCAGTAGTTAGAGCACTCGCCTCGTGTGCTCAGGGGATCAGGGTTGGACCTGTTGATGGTGTTGTTTTCCTTATTTTCAGCATTTTATTGTTGTAAAAGTTCTCACCTTAAGTTTTATTTTCCTTGTCAGGATTTGCTGACATTCAGCCCATATAAAAGAATCTCAGCATTTGAGGCTCTTCAGCACCATTACTTCCACGAATGTGATCCCGAGGCCTGAGGTGGTGAGTGGTGGCCTACAGACTTGGAACTGTATATGGATTGCCTGGGAGACTGACTGACATGGCTGCCACTGACCTGTCCTGGAGAGGGGAGGGGGTGAGGTCAACATTAACCAGTTGAGGACTGTTGGTAGTTTCTGAGATTTTTTTTATCTTGGCCAAACTGTTTGTAAAACTGCCGAATGTGACAGGTATTTTGGGGGTCAATTTTAACCAAAATTGAAAATGAACTGACCACGAAATGTATCCTGTGTGCTGCGGAAAACAGGTTTTAATCAAATCCCAAACTGTTGCTAGGAGTCCTCAGAGGGTTAATGGGATGATTGACCCTTACGTCGTGCTCTCTCTCTCTCTTACACCCCCTCCTCCAAGCCCTTGCGTTTCCCATCCACTTTATCTCCAGTTTATCTCCAATATCGCTGTTGTTGCACACTGATGCTCAAAAATGGTGCCATTTAAGGATTGGGAGATGAGATATTCTTTCCTTCTCCCTCCCCAACCCACCCTCCATCATACAACCTTTCCTTACCTATACGCCGTACTCTCTCTGTGCCAGAGTTGGTGACTCCAAGTGAACAGGTCTGGAGGGTTACTTTAGAAGCAGGTAAATAAGACTCTCTAATCTGCGCTAATTTCCTTTCAGACAGTGTGAAAGGCTGGCAGGCAGTTAGGTTGTGTTGAAGTGGTTAGCTTAGGCTACGTCGGGGTGAGGGGTTAGGGTTAGGCTTTGTTTGGGGGGGTGGGGGGGGGGTCTGATACAGGGTCCACTTGGAGAGTGAAAAGACTTAGAGAAAGTGTTCTGTGCTGTTTTAATAAAATTCATTCCATGAGTACAGAGCTAAGAGGAGCTCAAACCCTTTTAATTCTTTGTAACTTAAGATGCTCGCTACACAGTCCTTAGTCATGTTTACAGCCTTTCGTCAATCACCTGCCCAAGTAGCCACATCCAGAGAAGCCTCTGTTTAGAAGAATCCTCCAAGTGTAAAGTGGGGAGAATGTCCAGACATTTCCTCATAAACAGGATTCAGCTCCATTTGAGTATTTCTGCTCTGCTGCCGAGATGCTTGTGAACAGCTTTGTTCCTCCCCGTGTGTCACTTTATTACCACATGTATGTGGCCTCAGAAACACACATTTTTATTGGTTAAATCTTTCACCACTCGGTGTAGCACAAATTCCTTTCCTTCTCTCCCCCCCCCCACCGACAAATATAACAGCAGCTTAGCTTCTATTATCCTGCTCAGCCGCAGTCAGCAGCCTTATCGTCTTTATTTACCTGAACGGGCTTCCCATTATGATCTGCAGAGTGTGTGTGTGGTGGGGGAGAGTATTTTGGGGACAGGGAATGATTTGGGCTCACAGCATACAAGTGCTATAATGACACGCTTTTTGGGTGATTGGCAAATTCGAGATGTCACCTGGTGACTGTTTCAGTGCTCGGTTGCTCTGAGAGCCTGACCCACCCGTCCTGAGTATTTCCCAGTGTTATTGCACCAGGTGTAAAGCTGATTTCCTCTGCAGTTGGCCCGTTTGCCTCACGATTAGATTGGTCTGGGATCCACAGCCACTGCCTGTCCACCTCCCATCAATTGCTAAGACCTGGGGATAAGTGGCTGCAACGATAGATGAATTCAGCCATTCATATGTGCCTTTATCTTCACGAGCACCAGTGTGAGCCAGTCAAAACATACACCACAAGATTTAGTGGCTTTGAACCACCGTGTTGCATTGATCTCTGCCTGGGAGTCGTTTGTTACAGTTAATGTGGAGCATTTAAAATTGATCGGGGTTGTTATATGTCTGTCTTACATTTTTGTCGGATATTCTGCTAAGCTGCAAGTTCATGTTTTATATCAATATCATGTCTGGTGCTTAACTGTACATTTTATAGACTCTTTGCCATGTTCTGTGGCTCTGTCTAACTAAAGTCTCCCCAAGTAAATCACATGCTGATTTGGGAGGATTTGGCTACAGCAAGTGACCTTGGATAATTATCTGCCGATGAAAAGAATTTCCTATGAAAGAATTTAGCTTCCATACCTGAAATGAAATATATCTGCTTAGATGCACAAACCAAATTGTTGTGTGTGATGTGAATCCTGGTCATTTTGTGTGTCTATGCTTCTACATTGTGTGGTAAGTTAGGCCAATCACTTAAATAGACAATAAAATCTCTAGGAAAACATTCCATCTGGATCGACTCGATAAGGGAGGAAATTTCAGTAAATATGGAATAATTAGTTAATCATAATAATCCCTTGTTTGATACCTTGTTAATGTCTCAAAATATTCATTCAAATACTGGGTTCTTAGCCACCGTGAGCTACATTAAGGAAGTGTGTGTGAGAGGTACGTGGTGGCAAATGTGACAATTTGCTCCAGTTACACTTCATAAGATAATGACACAACGTTTTGGGTGAATTTCATAAGAAAGGAATATTGGTCAGGAGGCCGGGACACTGCCACATCACAAGCTCTTTTAATGTCCAGGAGAACAGAGGCCTGGGAGGATCAGTACTGAGCCACTCTGCTACTTAATAAACAAGTCTGAGAATGTCCAAACTCATTGCACGGCCCACAGAGATGTTTGTTTCCCAGTAATCTTAGTCCGGTTCATTCTGCAAAGGGTTGTTGAGGCGAGATGAAGGTTGATGAGTGCAGGGTTGCTGGCAGATTGTTTGTGATCTGAGCAAGCAGGAAGCTGATTGAATGAGACTTCTCAGTGTGCTGTTTACCAGACCTAACTAACCAATTGACTGCAGGCTTCTGGGCTGCAGACACTACTAGCCTGGAGCTTAAGTGACTCATAAATATATAATAAGATGCAGTTAAGTTCAATGTGCAAATAAGCAGATCAAAATCAAATTATTATCCCTGTCCTGCACCCCATTAGAGGACTAATCTGTAACTGGAGGCTGATGGAAAGCAACAGTTCAACACCAAAATTGTGTCCCAGTCCTGTCGTCTTCCAACATACTCACTCACATCTGCTTTCCAATTTGCTGATGGGCAACGCAGCTCAGTCTAAAGTGTTTGAAAGCATTGTTACCATTTCAATTTAGAAATGGGGCCTCTTATTTAAATAACGTAGCTTAAGCAGTCGTTCTACCATTTTCCAGATTATTGCTCATACGAATAATAATAATAATAATCCTTGCATTTGATATAGCGCTTTTCACGTCGGGAGGACGTCCCAAAGCGCTTCACAGAACACACTGCAAAGTGAATTGACTGTATATTTGTGGGCGAACGCGGCAGCCAATTGCGCACAGCAATGTCCCACAAACAGTTGTAGATTGAAAATGACCAATTTATTATTATTTTTGGTTTTGGAGGGATTATTATTAGGCTCTGTGTGGAGTAAGGAAACTTGCCCAAGGTTTCGCCCTCTGCCTGGAATTGAACTCAGGTCTCTCACTTGCAAAGCGAGTGCTCTAACCACTGAGCTACAGGACTCCACGAAATGTACTTGTCAAACACAGTTAAAGGCCAGAACACGGCTGAGCTTTGTAATAATAATAATAATCCTTGCATTTGGTGGCTGTTTGGAACCCTCGCAGCACAAGCAGCATTTGACCCCTGTTCCACGTCTCTGATTAAGTCACAGACTGATCTGACCACTGCCTGTGCTTTCTGTGAATGGCCGTTAGATGGTGGCAGAGGACCTGTGCGAGGCTCAGCCTTTTGGCCTCGATTCATTGAAGTTTCCACAGTTGATGTTGGAAGTGGATTTAACTTAAAGATTATTGCCCTAGTTTGGTAGGTAGACGGATAGTGTTTATGATGGTCTGCTACTTGCCTTTTGGCAGTGAAGCAGCTTTGAGGCACTGCTATGTGCAAAGCTTTCTTTTGCTATGCCCTCTGTGCCCATTTGTTTGATAACCGCTGTGGTTATCTCCTGGTCCCCACTAGGCCTATCCACTTACTCCCCCGGAACCTTCCCCTCCTTTGAGCACCTTACCCTTTATCGCCCTACCAATCTTTCACTTAAAATTCTCCTTATCTATAGCCCCCCCCCCCCCCACTTCATCCCTGACATCTCCACCTTCCTATCTATTTTCCCTCTCCCTCTGCTCCGAACGCCTCCTTATCCATGGCGATTTCAACCATCACTTCACCCCCTCCTGCTCTACTTCTGCTGACTTCTCCCTTATCTCCTCCCTCAATCTCTCCCTCCACATCCACTCCGGCATCCACATCCACAGTGACCCCCTAGATCTGGTGATCACCCGGAGCCTCACCGTCTCGGGCCTTACCATCACCGACAAAGCCATCGCTGACCATTATTTTATCTACCTTAACTCAATCCTTTGCCCCACCGCCATCTCCTACAGCCCCTGCAAAAAAATCTCCCCCCACCTCCCTCTCTGTTGCCTTGGAGTCATCTGAACTCCTCCCTCTCTGGGCTTCCTCCCGCAATGACCTATCCTCCTTGATCACTCTCCTCCAAAACTTGTGCTCTGCCACTCTCAATGCCCTTGTTCCCCTCACTTCCCGAACCATCTCCTACTCACTAAAGTTATCCTGGTACACCAGCCACCTCTGCTCCCTTAAGGCACAGGTGAGTGCCACTGAACACACCTGGCTCAAATCCAACTTCATGGCATCTTGTCTGACCCTCAACTATCCTTTCTACCCCACATCTGCACCATGACCCGCTTGGCCTTCCCCCACCTCCGCAACATCGCCCGGCTCCGCCACTGTCTCACACTACAGGCCACCGTGACCCTCCTACATGCATTACTAACATTGAGGCTCAACTATACAAACTTCCCGCTTGTCGGCCTTCCCAGCTCCTCCCTCCATCCAGAACACTGCAGCCTGTGTCCTCCCCCACACTAGGCTCTATTACCCCCATCCTCGCCTGACTCCACTGGCTTCCTATCGCACAGGACAGTTCAAGATCCTGGTCCTCACCTTGAAAGCCCTTCATGGCCTCGACCCCCCTACCTCTGTGACCTCCTAACCTTCTCCAACCTGCTCGCTCCCTCTGCTCAGCGGCCTTTGGCCTGTTTCACGTCCCGCACTTCATTCGCCCCACTGTTGGCGGGCAGGCCTTCAGCCACTCTGCCCACACTCTCTGGACCTCCATCCCGCAGACCCTCTGCCTCGTCCCCTCGCCTCCTTCAAGATCCGTCTCAAAACACTTCTCTTCGACTGTGCCTGCGATCACTCTCCTTTTCCCTCCCCAATCCCATTGCCCAGCTCAGGTCTGAAACATTGATTGTCCAGCACCTTAGGACGTCCTCTCGACATGGAAGGTGTTTACACGTGGAATGTTTTTGTTGTCCCTCAGCAGCTTAATCACAAATGGCTGATCCCAGGAAAGGGAATATTTGCTTTGAAACGTGGATTACGTGATGAGTTAATGATAATAAACCTGGTTACGAGTTACATTTCCTTTGCAGTGCAATGGCTTAACTCAATCAGCTGTTCCATTGAGCCCCCCCCTGTACGTGCTGGGACATTTGGGCTAAAATTTAAAGTGTTAACACTTTGACTACGTGTCTCATCTGACAAACACTGACTTTGCAGAAGCACGGTGATGCTGGACGTTCTGTCTTTCCTTCCCTCGGTATTAAACCAAATAAAAACGAGACAAAATATTCACATAAATCTTTAATTATCATTGTTAAAAACAGTTAAAGCAGACCCACACATGGGCTAATCTACGATAATTCAGGGGAAACAAGTCAGGACAGCCAGCAGTTGGCCACAGTATCCGTACAAATCAATGGCCATTGGGGAACCACCAAGCAGCCACCAGCAGCCATGGTGGGTCCCCTTGTTTGGTCAGTTTAAAAAGTCAAGAAAACACAGCACTGTGTAAATACAGTGGCTGCAATAACACTGATACTGCACTTTGTTCATGGATCCCATGAGATCCATCCTTTCCCCTTTTATTCCAACATCCCAAAGACAGCGCTATAAAGAGGGTCTAACTGTACACAAAGTGAAAAGGCATACAACATGAATGTGCTTATGTACAGCAACAGCTCCTGGCCGTGCCCGCTACAGCGAATCACACCACTGAAAATTCACTAAATTGCAGAGTAATGAAAGCCCTCAATGCTGTAGCCAAGCATTGGGTTTTCCTGCTCTGATATTCTGCCACCCCGTGTGTGTAACATCAGAAAAGGGCAGCAGATTCCAGAGTTCAGCGTTCTGTCCGAGGGCAAACTTAATCACAGCTGTACCTTTACATCCCCTTGTGATGAAAAGTTGTTAGGGAGAAAGACAAATCTAAAGGAAAAGAATTCACGTTTCAGTAGTATTGGATATCAATTCTCTCTAAGCCAACCCTGAACTGTACAGTGAAATTTATGCTGTGGCATAAATTGAACCATATCACCTTTGATTTAAACTTTTTTCAGTTAGTTCCCAGGACCTCCCCCCACCCACCCGTTCTTACTCTCAAACGTCGTTCTGCTCACCTGCAAATACCCCACCTCTATGAACTGATCGCACTCTCTTCCTATGCAAGGGTTTAAATAAAAAGGAAGCTTCAGACGGGACGTAACCTTTGCTGCTGAAAGGCAGGATTGGTTTGTGCGAGTTATTGTCACCTCATCAAATCCACATTGCAGCTAAATGGTGCTGTTGCTGTGCAAGGCTGATTCTTACAGAAGGTGAAACCAGTGTGATTGGCAATGATCCAGATTGCTATCAATCCAGCCCCCCAGGGGAATCCAGCGCTAAAAGTGGCAAAAAAAATCAATAGAAATGTGTTAAACGTTAACTCTAATCTTTTAAAAAAAAACATAATCAAGAACTAAAACATTTCTATACGAACGAGAATTCCCCTCACCCCCCGAAAAAATTAATAAGCATAAAAACAGGCTCCACGCTAACAACTACTATCTCTGCTCACTTAGACCAGTCCCAACTACTGCCCCCCCACCCCCCCACAGGGAAAGAAAGCAATAAAATCAACTGTCTGATTTCTAAAAATGTTTCCATATCCATATAATTCATGTCAAGTTCCGGGTCTGACTCCAAACCAGTGATGGCCCAGCGACTATGTCAGAGATGGGCGGCTGGCAGTGAGGGAGGGGCTCAGGCTGCCGAGACTCAGGATGTTGTGGTCCGTGTAGATGCTCCATCCCGTCATGCATTAGCCAATGGGGGGGCAATGGCCACTCTTCCTTAGTTTGCCAAATGTGCTTTTTGTTGATGAACTTTAACTCCTGGGAAAGGTACTTTGTGACTAGCAGTTGTGGAGGGAACAATGGTCACGAGACTAGACGGGGCGGGTGTAGGAAGAGAATGAAGGGATAACTATAAGAAGGCACTAGGATTGGCTCGCGGGTCTTTCTGGTTCCTGTAGCGCACTGCTAGCCATACACCCAGGATCTGAAAGATGNAAAAAAGTCATTAGGACATTTTCTGCATCTCTTCTATCAGTTATTTTCTCTGGCTGGAAAAATGGGGTGGATGATGGGGGATGTGGGGACAGGACGAGGAGTTCACTGTTACTGAACATTCCCACATCAGAAGCTCAGTGGTTAAAGTATTTGCCTCGCAAGCAGCAAGACCTGGGTTCGATTCCTGGGCAGGGCAAAACGTTGAGCAAGTTTCCTTACTCCACACGCCTCTGTTTACCAGCAGTAAGTAGGAACCCGGTTGTTCATCGATTGGCAGATTGCTTTTCCAGAGTTAATAATCCCTTCAAAAAAAAAAAGTTGGGTCACTCAATCCACAACTGTTTGTGGGACGCTTCTGTGCGCAATTTGCTGCTGCGTTTCGTCCACAAAATATACAGTCAATTCACTTTACAGTGTATTCTGTGAAGAGCTTTGAGACGTCTCGAAGATGTGATAAGGCGTTATATCAAATGCAAGGATTATTATTATCAGATTGAAGCTCACCTCAGTAAAGCTGAAAAAAAGTCCCACTCCTCCCAGGATCCTCAGAGCCTCTCCAGAATGCTGCAGCATAACATCACCACATGTCTGACAGCGGGTTGTTTTGCAGGGCTGGCAAACAGGAAAAACAGGAGTGCAAACTCTCACCAGACATCGCAGATGCTCTCAGCTGAACAATAGGCTCAGCTCGTTGCTGAGTTAGCCCTGAACTTTGCGTTTCACCCGCAAAATATACAGTCAATTCACTTTACGGTATATTCTGTGAAGCGCTTTGAGACGTCTTGAAGACATGATAAGGCGCTGTATCAAATGCAAGGATTATTATTATTTTGGTTAGTAACTACAGAAAATGTTACTTTCAAGGGCTTCTCAATGATTTGGTTTTGGTAAAGCAATTGCTTTAGTGGGAATGATTTTTTTTTGGTCACCACATGCGGAAACCCATTGCCGTACAGAAGGGAATGAGCCACACACACAGGTAGAGATGGCAGGTCTAAGACTTAACCGCTAAGCTGTGGTGAGTGAGCGCATCTCAGCCAGGGCAAAGCTGACTCCTGTCAGCTTCAACCATTGCTTTTCTCACCAGATTACTGTAAATAAGAGATTTTAGGAATTATTTTTCAAACCATCAAAGTTATTAGAACATGGACAGAAGTCGCTGGGAACACGCAGCAAGTCGGGCAGCATCTTTGGAGAGTAAAGTGAGTTAACGTTTCAGGTCGATGACTCATTTTCCTTTCTCCATAGATATTGCCTGACCTGCTGGATGTTCCCAGCAACTTTGGTTTTTATTCCAGGTTTCCAGCATCTGCGAGGTTTTGCCTTTTATTAGAATATGGAATTCAGTGCTTAAACAATGGTTGAAGCAGAATTTATTGTTGCTTTTTGAGAGGGAAAACGGGCAAATATAGAAAAAACGAAAAATATAAACAGATGCAGTGAAACGGCAGGGGGAGTGGGAGTACATATTTAAGCAGTTTTCTTTTAAATAAAAAGTGAGCCGACACAGGAATAAAGGGCCGAATGGAGCCTCCCAGTCTGGAAGATTCCATCATTCCACCACCATCATCATTATTGGGAAAAGAGCGGGGGACTGATTGGAGAGGTCTTCCAAGGAGCCGACACGGGCACAATGGGCCAAATGGCCTCCTGTGCTGTGCCTCCTACATCTGTGACCTCCTAAACCCCTACCATCCTGCTCGCTCCCTCCCGCTCAGCGGGCTCCGGCCTGCTTCACGTCCCCCGCCTCACTCGCCCCTGTATTGGCAGGCGTGGGACTTCTGCCACTCTGCCTCCACCCTCTGGAACTCCATCCCGCAGTCCCTCCACCTCGCCCCCTCCCTCACCACCTTCAAGACCCATCTCAAGACCCTCCTCTTCGATTGTGCTTTTGATCACCCTGCTTCCCCCTCCACCCTCCCCGACCTCCAGCTCGGGTCCATAACTGTCTGTCCAACGTCTTGGGACGTTCTCCCGATATGAAAGGCGCTATACAAATGTAATTTTGTTGTTTTAATATCCTCTGATTCTATCAGAGGGAGCAGGAGCTGAGACAACATGACTTAAAACGTCTGCTAATTGAGGAAGTGTATGCAGAGAACCCGAGATGAACAAAAACACCTTCTCACTTTGTCTCTTACTCCCAGAAATTAACCTGGATGTGGATGGCACTGTATTTATTCCCAATACTGTTCCCCGCTTTGCTGCTCGGCTGCCCCGCGTTTACATAGTTCCTGCATTTACAGAGCAAAATAATAAGAGGAGCTGCTTACCAATGTACACATGTGATAATCAAGTGCAAAGGTTGCAGTGTTGTCAGTGTCATTCATAAAACCGCAGCAATTCATCTGCTGTTCCAGATCCATTCTGGTACGGTTGGACAATCTGTTCCAGGCCAATTTTAGCAGATGCTCCTAATTGATTGTAAGAAAACAAGAGTGCTGATCATGTTATATAGCACCTCAGCACATTATGAAAAGGTCTCAAAGATACTTCACAGGATTTACTGTATAGTGACTACATATTTGTCAGTTAACACAGCTGCCAATTTACACACATGAATGTCAACAAACAGCTATCAAGTGAGTGGATGATTTTCTCTGGGGGATTGTTGGCCTGGACACCCGCAGTGAGAAAATCCCTTCTTTTTTCGAGCAGTGCCACAATATCATCAACAACATCCAAGCAGCTCGAAGCCATGCAGTCTGAATCCAGGTTTGAATCCTGTGCTCAGTTTGCTGATCCCAGTCAGAGTAGGATTGGGGCTACTGTTGCTTCAACATCCCTGTAAAAATGACCCCTGATCTTAATTAGCCTGAGTCATATGTGTGTGTGTGTGTGTGTGAGCGAGGGCGAGATCAGGCTCCATTCTGAACCTGATTATCGATACCTTGCAAACATTCACATGAATAATGGTCACATAAGCAAGGTATCAGAGGCTGATCTCTGCCTCCCTGCCTTCCAGGGTAGAAAGCAAATAAATATAAAAATATTCAGGAGATTAAAACAAACATACGGAAAGCTGTACCCGAGGCAGCTCGGCCCAGTTCTTAGGATTCCCACACACTACCTGGCCTGTTGAGATGCCCATCAAAACACCACAATGCAGAATTATTGGCTTCCAAAGATATACTCGCTCAATTTTATTAATAACTTTTCTGAAAAGTAGACTGATCAAACTCTGACTGGGCTGGAGTTTTACTGAAGAGTCACTGACATGGTCATATGGATGCAAGTCAGCAACCAGAGGCAGCACCCCCCACACACACACACACACTGTGCCAGAGCATTACTGGGAACCGCCCAACAACAACCCAGGTAAAACCCTACTTGTTGGCTTCGGTTGATAGCCAGGCATGAGCAGGAGACTCCAAACTGCATCACAAAGACCAGGAATAAAATAACCATGTACTGGAAAAAAAAGCAAAGTCAAGGAAGTAACAGAGGAGGAGATAAATAATGACTGTATCAAAGGCTTGTATCACAACAACAACAACAACAAGATTCCATTTATAGAGCGCCTTTCACGTCAGGAGGACGTCCCAAGGCGCTGCACAGTTGGGTCATGACCCGAGCAGGGGGGAAATGGTCAGGGTGAGGGGAGGGAAGGGAGGGAGAGAGGAGGGGGGAAATGGTCAGGGTGAGGGGAGGGAAGGGAGGGAGCGAGGAGGAGGAAGAGAGTCGAGAGGGGAGCTGAAGGCACGGTCAAAGAGAAAGGTTTTGAGACCGGCCTTGAAGGAGGAAAGGGAGGAAGCGGCGAAGGCACTGGGGGATGGAGTTCCAGAGCCTGGGGGCTGAGAGGCTGAAGGCCCGACCACCGATAGTAGGGCGGTTGGGGCGGGGGACGTGGAGCAGACCGGAGCCAGAGGAACGGAGGGTACGGGCAGGTAGGTAGATCACCATCAGAAATATCAAGAGGCCAATGAAAGGATACAAAGAAGAGCATGACTTGGTGGTGGTTGAAGGCTCCGATGAGCCCAACAACAGCAATAAGCAGAAGAAAGACTCCCACGGCGATGACTCCACCGATGATGTTAATGCTAGAAACGATGCCATAGCTCTTGCCCCATGCTGCCACTCCGATAAGCAACAACCCAACGAGCTGTGAAACACAAGAGAAAGATGCAGACTTAGTGACCTGCAGTCCAGCACAGGGCTAAGTGAGGCCTTCAGAGGCACCACACGACTGTTCATATATATTGAATCCTATACATATAGGTGTGAAATTTAAATCAGTTTCCTCAATGTTTTAGTTGCTAAAGCTCCCACCCAGGGTAGCTCTGAGCCTTAGAGCTCCACACTCAAGTTAACCCATCTCCACCAAGGCCAATGGCCGAGATCCTGGTCCTCACCTTTAAAGTCCACCGTGGCCTTGCTCCCCCCCCCCACCTCTGGAACCTGATAACCCCCTACCAACCTGCCCACTCCCTCCACTCAGCGGGCTCCATCCTGTTTCACGTCCCCCATCTCGACTGCTCTACTATTGGTGGGCGGGCCTTCAGCCACTCTGCCCCCACCTTCTGGAACTCAGTCCCACCGCCTCGCCCCCTCCCTTGCCTCCTTCAAGACCCAATTCAAGACCTTCCTCTTTGACTGTGCCTTCGATCACCCTCCTTCCCCTACCGCCCTCCACCCTCAGCTCGGGTTCAAAACACTGACTGTCCAGCGCCTCGGACAAGGCACTCTACAATGTAATTTTGTTGTTGATGCTATAACAGGTCTCCATGCCACTTGGGGAACAGACTGGAGTGAGATGGTGATGTGTATCCCAGTGAAGAATTTATAGCTTCCGCACATGCCATTTCATAGTCTTCCCAAAATAATTCTATGTAAAAAGAGATAGATTAGAATTTTAAAAATTACTGAGTGTTAGAATGCTTTGCTACAACTGGTAGTAGAAACCAAGTTCCATTACAGCATTTGACAGGGAATTGGATACATTCTTGAGGAAAATTATTAAAGATTATAGAACAAATGTTGGAATGGGATTAGAGTACAGAGCTCCGGTGGAGGACTGAGTCCCAGCACAGACACAATGGGGAAAGAGCAAGGAAACAGAATTAAGATGAGTGGGGAGAATAGGCTTTGTGGGCCAATAGCCCTACTGTGCTGTAAACATTAGAGGTGTGAGTGATGTTCTTCAAATCAATCCCAAGAGTGGTCAGTTTGGGGGAACAGAATATTGTTCTTATAGGAATCTCTCTTCAGGACAACTTGACTAGGTACAAGCAAAGCTCCAACATAAACTCTATTTTTGGGGAAACTCCCAATAGACCTGTCAGCCCTAACTTGCCATTTCTGTGGTTAGAGACTTGCTTTGCTCAAATGTCCCTTCAATATTCTGGTCCCATTGCCAGGAATGCTGCTATTAACACTGATATGTTTTGTTCCACATTAGAAATTGCAGAAAACTGAGGTACAGATCACAACATTCACAACCCCATTAAGCAAAGGTTTCTGTCTGGCAAGTGTTAAGATTTAACAGCACAGCTTCATTCATGTCAATGTTAAGTCTCTAGTGCACATCAGAGCAGATGTTAGTCTAACTACAGCAATAAACAAACCTTCCAGTAACCGCTACACAATGGACACCACACTTCAGAGTAATTCATTACGTGAAGTGCTTTGGGATATTCCCAGGTGTTAAGATTCTGTATGGATTGGGATTAGAACAGAGAATTCCAGTAGGGGAGTTGTGGTACCAGTACAGACGAGAAAGGCCAAATGGCCTCCTCCTGAGCTGTAACTTTCTCTGATTGTACAGAGACCAGGAGTTATTCCCTTAGGAGAGAACACAGTCTCTTTTACACATTCCAAGGCAGTGACACCGGCTCCTAAACCGTAACCCACCAGAGGAAACCTTGAGGGATTTACCTTTAACTGAACTCAAGCGATGAATCATTCCTTTGAAACAGTCCCATGATCTCCAATGTATGCAGGTTATTAGCGGTGCCAATTTACCCACAGTAACTAGTAACCCTTCACCTGCTGGTTAGTTGTTTAATACATTTGAATACAGGATATAAAATCGCCTTGGCTCCCATTTCCCTCCCAGTTTGGCATATTCCAAAAGCACAAGTTGCAGCAGAATGTTGACACCTTCCTGCAGATGTTTTATCCCTTGTAGTTTATTCACAAACCAACTGTGTAACAGCGTTACACGACCACTGTCCTGCAGCAGCAGCTTCTTACAATCTCAGCCTTTTCCTTGAGTCGCCCCTGTCCTGTGTTACGGGGCGGGGTCCGGGCTCTCAGCTGCTCCGAGTCCCCGTCCGTCTGTCACTCCCAATCTCAAAAGCTGCTTTGACCCCCAACTGACTCGGATCTGCACCATTTTCTGTTTGTGTTCCCCACATTCCCAGCATTTACCTACTTTACTTCGGGCAAAATAGGCAACACAGAAAGCAGCCATTTACCCCCCACACACACCCCTCCCCACACACCCCTCCCCACCCCCCACACACACCCCTCCCCACCCCCCACACACCCCTCCCCACACACCCCCCCCACCACACACCCCTCCCCACACCCCCCCCACACACCACCCCCTCCCCACACACCCCCCCCCACACACCCCTCCCCACCCCCCCCACACACCCCTCCCCACCCCCACACACACACCCCCCACACACCCCCACACACACCCCACACACCCCTCCCCACACACCCCTCCCCACCCCCCACACACACCCCTCCCCACACACCCCCCTCCCCACCCCCCACACACACCCCTCCCCCTCCCCACCCCCACACACACCCCTCCCCACACCCCCACACACACCCCTCCCACACCCCCACACACCCCTCCCCCTCCCCACCCCCACACACACCCCTCCCCACCCCTCCCACACACCCCCTCCCCACACACCCCTCCCCACCCCCCACACACCCCTCCCCACACCCCCCCACCCCCACACACACCCCTCCCCACACACACCCCCCACCCCCCCACACACCCCTCCCCACCCCCACACACACCCCTCCCCACACCCCCCACACACCCCTCCCCACCCCCCCACACACACCCCACACACCCCTCCCCACACACCCCTCCCCACCCCCCACACACACCCCTCCCCACACACCCCTCCCCACCCCCCCCCACCCCCCCCCCACCCCTCCCCACACACCCCTCCCCACCCCCACACACACCCCTCCCCACACACCCCTCCCCACCCCCCACACACACCCCTCCCCACACACCCCCTCCCCACCCCCACACACACCCCTCCCCACACACCCCCCCCCACCCCCCACACACACCCCTCCCCACACACCCCCCTCCCCACCCCCCCACACACACCCCTCCCCCCTCCCCACCCCCCACACACACCCTCCACACCCCCCCACACACACCCCTCCCCCCTCCCCAACCCCCACACACACCCTCCCCACACCCCCACACACACCCTCCACACCCCCCCACACACACCCCTCCCCACACACACACCCCACACACCCCCACAGTTTGCCTCATAATAAATATTACAATAAATTGTTTTGTGAAAACTATTGTGGTTCCTACTGCAGCCTCAGGGTCAGGTGGTGCGGCCCAGGGCCAGTGCTGGTGTGAGCACCGCCCCCTCTCCTCTCCCCCCCTCCCCCTCCCCCCCCTCCCTCTCCCCCCCTCCCCTCTCCCCCCTCCCCTCCCCCCCCCTCCCCTCCCCTCTCCCCCCCTCCCCCTCCCCCCCTCCCCTCTCCCCCTCCCCCCCCCCCTCTCCCTCTCTCTCCCCCTCCGGGATGAGTTGAAGAATAAAAGGATGAATGTGGTGTTTTTGAGGCATGTTGTCTCCCCAGGCGGGTGGGGGGGGGGCGGCGGTGTGGGGGGGGGGGGGTGGGTGGGGGGGCGGTGTGGGGGGGGGGGGTGGGGGGGGGGGGGTGGGTGGGGGGGCGGTGTGGGGGGGGTGGGTGGGGGGCGGTGTGGGGGTGGGTGGGGGGGCGGTGTGGGGGGGGTGGGTGGGGGGGCGGTGTGGGGGGGGGTGGGGGGGCGGTGTGGGGGGGGGCGGTGTGTGTGGGGTGGGGGGGGGCGGTGTGTGGGGGGGGGGGGGGGCGGGGGGTGGGGGGGGGCGGTGTGTGGGGGGGGCGGTGTGTGGGGGGGGCGGTGTGTGGGGGGGGGCGGTGTGGTGTGGGGGGGCGGTGTGTGTGGGGGGGCGGTGTGGGGGGGGGGGCGGTGGGGGGGGGGGGCGGTGTGTGGGGGGGCGGGGGGGCGCTGTGGGGGTGGGGGGGGCGGTGTGTGGGGGGGGGCGGTGTGTGGGGGGGCGGTGTGTGGGGGGGGGCGGTGTGGGGGTGGGGGGGCGGTGTGGGGGTGGGGGGGGCGGTGTGGGGGGGGGGGCGGTGTGGGGGTGGGGGGGGCGGTGTGTGGGGGGGGGCGGTGTGTGGGGGGGGGGCGGTGTGTGGGGGGGGTGTGTGTGTGTGGGGGGGGGCGGTGTGGGGGGGGTGGGGGGGCGGTGTGGGGGGGGGGGCGGTGTGGGGGGGCGGTGTGGGGGTGGGGGGGCGGTGTGGGGGTGGGGGGGGCGGTGTGGGGGGGGTGTGGGGGGCGGTGTGGGGGTGGGGGGGGGCGGTGTGTTGGGGGGGGGGCGGTGTGTGGGGGGGGCGGTGTGGGGGTGGGGGGGGCGGGTGGGGCGGTGTGTGGGGGGGGGCGGTGTGGGGGTGGGGGGGCGGGGGGGGGGGCGGTGGTGGGGGGGCGGTGTGGGGGGGGGACGGTGGGTGGGGGGGGCGGTGTGTGGGGGGGGGGGGCGGTGTGTGGGGGGGTGGGGGGGGGTGGGGGCGGTGTGTGGGGGGGGGCGGTGTGTGGGGGGGGGCGGTGTGTGGGGGGGGGGGGCAGCCTCGGCCTCTCTCTGTCTCCCCCCGATTTCACTTACGAAGTACACAACGTTTAAGGCGATCAGCGCGTTCCTGGAACAGGTGAAGCCGCCGCACACCATCTTTGTCGCCGTTTATCCGCACGTCCCGTTTCCCGGCCCCGGCCCCGGCCCGTGTGACGTCAGCGCCGGGAGCCCAGCGCTCCCATTGGCTCTCCTCCGCCGTCAATCACCCGCCGCCTCTCTCATTGGCCGCCGCTGCCAGGACCCGCCCCTGCGGTTGGGGCTTCCTATTGGCTGATCAGAGCCCGAGCTCCAAGTCATCAAATTACAATACATCAAATAAAAATAATACAATTATATAATTATAATAAAATAATATAATAATATATAATAATATAATTATAACATAATAATATAATTATAATATAATACAATAATATAATTATAATAAAATAATATAATTATAGTATAATACAATAATATAATTATAATACAATTATAATATAATAAAATAATATGAAAATAATACAATAATATATAATAATATGATAAAATAATATAATTATAATGATATAATAAAGATAATACAATAATATAATACAATGATAATATAATAAAAATAATACATTAATATAAAATAATATAATAAAAATAATGCAATGATTTATTATAATATAACAAAAATAATTATAATAATATAATAAATAATTATAATATCATACAATAATATCATTATAAGAATAATATAAAAAATAATGATAATCATTAGTAATCACGATTTAATAACAATATAATAAATAACACTAATAATAATTTTTATAGCATTTTGATAAAGAGCCTGATCCCGTCTTTGAGACATCTCAAAGCGCTTCACAGGATATACAGTGAAGCGTAGTGACTGTGTGTTTTGTTGGCAAAACGCAGCAGCCTTAATAATAAATAATTTTCCTTTATAATAAATATTTCTATAAAATGTTTTGTGAAAACTATTGTGCTTCCCGCTGCAGCCCAGGACAGCCAGTGCTCAATTGAGCTCAGCAGATGCAGGGAATCTGGAATAGAAACCAAAGTCTCTGGGAACACACAGCAGGTCAGGCAGCATCTATGGAGAGAGGAAAGTAAGTCAATGTTTCAGGTCGATGACTCAAGGATTGGGTTTATAATAATAATATTATAATTATAATAATAATTCTGAGATTTGGCGTAGAGCCTTTCACATCCGGCCAAAGCACTTCACAGTCACTATGCTTCATAGGATTTACGTGAAGTGACTGCATTCTGTGGCCGAGCTCAGCGGCCAATTTGCACACAGCAATGTTTCCACAAGTAGCCATGGACTGATTTTATCTGGGGATTGTTGGCCAGGACACCAGGAGAAACTGCCTTCTCTTTTCGAAAAGCGCTGTGGGATCTTTAACGTCCACCTAAAAAGGCAGGCGGGACCTCCAAAGGATGGCACCTCCAACGTCGCACCCAATCCCAAAGTAGGACTTGAACCCACAATCTTCTGACTCAGACAAGAGAGAGCTACTGAGAAAGTAAAACACTTTAAATACTGAGAGAGTAAAAGTGAAAGGTAACTGAACCAAACTAAAAGAATAGTAACTAGGACAACAGCTAACACAACCAGAGTAAAAACTAGGACAAAAAAAGGAAGGGCTTGCTTGACCAACCTCATTGAATTATTTGAAGGGGTAACAGAAAGAGTAGCCAAGGGGAATATGGTAGATGTATTATATTTAGATTTCGAAAAGGCGTTCGATAAGGTACCACATAATAGACTAATGAATAAGGTCAGAGCATATGGAGTCAGGGGGAAATAGCAGAATGGACAGCAAGCTCGTTACAAAACAGAGGAGGCTACTCAGAGAGTGGCTGGCAGGGGGTGGGCAGTAGTGTTCCACAAGGATCGGGATTTGGGACCCACTGTGGTCCACAATATACATTAATGCTTTGGACTCTGGAATCAGCAGTACAATTTAAAATTTTTCAGTCGATACCAAATTGGGGGGAGTAGTTAATATAGAGGAGGACGGCAACAAATTACAGCAAGACATCAATAAACTTGCTGAATGGGCATTTAAATGGCAAATGCATTTCAATGTAGAAATGTGTGAGCTGGTACATTTTGGTAGAAGGAATAAGGAAGTCGCATACATCCTGGAAAACAAAACTCTAAATGGGGAAGAGGAGCAAAGGGGCCGAGGGGTACACATACACAATTCACTAACAGTAGCAACCCAGGTTAATAAGGCCATAAAAAAGCAAACCAGGCTTTGGGGTTCATTTCTGGAGGGATAGAAATGAAAGGCAGGGAAATTATGGTAAACTGCTATAGAACCTTGATCAGACTACACTTAGAATACTGTGTGCAGTTCTGGTCCCCACATTATAGAAGGGATGTAGAGGCACTGGAGAGGATGCAAAGGAGATTCACAAGGATGATCCCAGAACTGAGAGGTTATACCTATCAGGAAAGGCTGAACAACAACAACAACAAGATTCCATTTATAAAGCGCCTTTCACGTCAGGAGGACGTCCCAAGGCGCTGAACATACTTGGACTCTTCTCTTGAAAAGAGGAGGGTAAGTGGTGACCTGATAGAGGTCTTTAAAATGATGATAGGTTTGGATAGGGTCGACATAGGGAAGATGTTTTCACTTGTGGGGGAGACCAAAACCAGGGCCATCAATATCAAATAGTCACAAACAGATCAAATAGGGAAGTTAGAAGAAATTTCTTCACATAGAGAGTAGTGGGAATGTGGAACATGCTCCACAAGGAGTTGTTGAGGCAAATAGCACAGATGTATTTAAGGGGAAGCTGGAGAGGTACATGAGGGAGAGAGGAATAGAAGGTTATGCTTGAAGGGCAGGAGGAGACTCATGTGGAGCATAAACACCGGCATAGACCAGTTGGGCCGAATGGCCTCTTTCTGTGCTGAATATTCTAATGTATTCTAATGTAATAGCTAACTAAGCCACATGCAAAACACGTTCTCAAGCCGTACCTCTTTGATTGCACCTCAACTCCCAACCCCCCCCACCCCCCACCCCCCTTCCTTGGCTCCCACCCCAGCTTGGGTGCCCATCAAACAATGTCCAGCACGTTGAGATGTCCTTCCGGCGTGAAAGGCGCTGCATAAATATAAAATTGTGTTATAAACCCAGCATCATGCTCAAGAGTATTCAGACCAGACTGAGAGTCCCATGTTTGCCATGAAAATAGTCTCGACATTGAATGCAAGGATTATTATAACAGGATACGCCCGAAAACATTATCAGATCCAATGTACAAATGTGTTTTAGAAGAAACTAAGTAAACCTTGGAACCTACTAAAACACCCTTTAGAAACCTTTAAGTTAATATCAGGACAGCTTATAATTGCAAACAAAATAACACACCACCAAGAATTAAAACAAAAAGCCGATTTTAAGGTTAAGTGAAACCAAGGCCTTTTGAGCAGGAATTTTTATGAGCTCGTCATAAACTCTAAGGCTGTACTTTGTTATCAGGACACTCATTTCTCAGGTGGGGATTGGCGGGGTTGGGGGTGGGGGGGGAGAGAGAGAATTCATTATCAAATGTTATTTTGCTTAATCAGTTCCTTGCTGCTTTACAAATATCCAACGTTAGAAATTAAGTTTTAACCGTTTCAAAATCATTCCTGAGCTATAGAAATCCTGAGTTGCCAAGTAGCTGTGCACACTGCACGGTGCAAACCCTTACAGACCAAAGGTCCATCTCTCGTCTGTGCTGAATTATCTGAACTCAATCAAGATAATATTCAGGGCAGGGGCAGGGGCTAAGTGTAAATACCAGTCAGTACATTGACAGCAATCATCTTCAGATTTGATCCAAAATCAAGGGAATCCGCTCCGCGGTCACTGCCCCTCCAACTGCCACCCACCCCCACCCCTTCCCTCCCACACTCCGACTCCTACCCATCCTCCCCTACACACCTTCGAACCCGTTTCCACACCCTCTGTCACCAACCTCATCCTCTCCCTGAAACCCACCACCTGCTCACTGGACCCCATCCCCACTCCACTCCTTATCTCCCAGCTCCACTTCCTTGCCCCACATATCACCGACATCGTCAACCTGTCCCTCTCCTGTGGCTCTGTTCCCATTTCCCTCAAAACTGCCACCATCACTCCCACCTTGAAAAAACCCTCCCTTGATGCGTCGCAGCTATCAAGCTACCGACCCATCTCCAACCTCCCCTTCCTGTCCAAGGTCCTTGAAAGAGTCGTCGCCTCCCAGCTGCGCTCTTTCCTCTCCACCCATTCATTATTCGAACCCCTTCAGTTGGGTTTCCGTGCTGCCCATAGCACAGAAACTGCCCTGGTCAAGGTCACCAATGACATCCTGACCATCTGCGACAAGGCTCCCTCTGCCTCCTCGTCCTCCTCGACCTATCGGCAGCATTCGATACGGTCGACCACGCTATCCTCCTCCAGCGCTTGTCCTCCCACCTCAACCTTCAAGGCCCTGTCCTTGAGTGGTTTAGGTCGTATCTCTCCCACAGTCTTCACTTTGCTTCCACAAACGACTTTTCCTCCACCCCCCGCACTGTCTCATGCGGTATCCCTCAGGGCTCTGTCCTCAATCCCCTCCTCTTCTCCCTCTATATGCTCCCCCTGTGGTGACATCGTCCACAGACATGGGGTTAACTTCCATATGTATGCGGATGTCACCCAACTCTACCTTTCCTTCTCTACCCTCAACTCCACGACCCCCGATGTCCTGACAGCCTCCCTGTCCGACATCGAGTCCTGGACGAGAGACAACTTTCTTCAGCTCAACGTGCGCAAAACTGAGGCCCTCCTGATTGTCTCACGTCAGCGCCTCCGCACCTCAGGCGCTGACAGCATCAGCATCCAAGGCCGCATTCTCCACCTCTCAAAGCCATCAGGAACCTCGGGGTTCTGTTCGACCCTGAGCTGTCCTTTCTTCCCCACATCCGCACCACAACTGGCACCGCCTTCCATCACCTCCGGAATGTCGCCAGACTACGGCACTACCTCACCCCTCACGCGGCTGAAACTCTGGTCCACGCCTTTATCACCTCAAGGCTGGACTATGGTAACTCTCTCCTCGTCGGCCTTCCCGGCCCTCCCTCCACACTGCAGGTCATTCAGAACTCTGCAGCTCGTGTACTGTC